TTCACGGCATTGGAAAACGAAATAGGATCATCTTTAGGTCCGATGTCAAAATCAGACTCCATTGAGTATACAAAATAATCACTAAAAATTGCTGACTTTCTAGCTCGTGAGGATCTCCTTAATTCTATAGTCTCAATTGGGACTTCAGCTACAGGCTCTATGTTGACTTGTTCCTTTTGTGGTGAAAGTTCTTGAATTTGTTAATTTTCAAGAATATCGGGTTGATAATCTTGAAAGATAACCAATTCACCTATATTCATGGGTGTTGTATCCGGATCCCATGATTCCTTCCTCTCTATCTTTCGAGGGTAACTCCCACTAGGGTCAACTTCCTCAATAAACTTAGCATTTCTGGCTTCAACAATTCTAAGTAAATTTGAAGGACAATAAAATTTGTAACCCTTAGAGTTTTTCGCATAGCCTATGAAAAAACCACTTACTGTTCTGGGGTCCAATTTCTTTATATGTGGGTTACATACCCTCACCTCAACTGGACAACCCCAAACGTGTAAGTGTCTTAAACTTAGCTTCCATCATTTCCATAACTCAAACGGTGTTTTGGGAACAACCTTAGATAGAACCCTGTTTAAGATATACACAGCGGTTTTCAAAGCTTCACTCCATAAATTTATAGACACATTAGAATAACTAAGCATGCTCCTTACCATGTCCATAAGTGTTCGGTTCCTTCTTTCAGCAAGACCATTTTGTTGTGGTGTGCCAGGCATTGAATATTGTGCAATAATGCCTTATTCCTGAAGGAACTTAGCAAATGAACTTGGTAACTGTCCCAATTCTGTGTACCTCCCATAATATTCTCCACCCCTGTCTGACCTCACAATTTTAATTTTCTTTTTTGTTTGTTTCTCCACCTCTGCTTTATAAACTTTAAAGGCATCAAGTGACTCAGCCTTAACAAACAAGAGGTAGAGATACATATATCGTGTGAATTCATCAATAAATGAAATAAAATATCTCTGACCATTCAGACAAGGTGGAGTAAATGGTCCATAAATATCAGTGTGTATGGTTCCGAGAATTTCCTCACTCCTTTTGGCACATTTACTGGTCTTGTTGGTCTGTTTTCCCTTTATGTGGTCCACATAAGTACCAAAGTTGGTAAAATCAAGAGTCGAAAGGACTTCATCATTAACCAATCTCTTTATTCTCTCAATGGAGATATGTCCCAATCTCCTATGCCAAAGAATAGAGGAGGACCCATCAACAATATTAAGTTTAATGCCAATATCACCATGCAAGGTTAAAAGATTTTGTTCAAAAATAGGATCCAGATTTAATTTGTATAAACCATTAATTAAAGTACCAAATCCTACAGAAACAGAGTCTTTAAACAAACTAAAATTTGCACCAATAAACTGAAATTCAAATCCAAACGGTACTAGTCTAGAAATAGAAATTAAGTTTTTGGAAAAAGATGGAATGTAAAATACGTTTTCAAGACCCAAAACAAAGCCATTTTTTAAAACAAGTTTGAAAGTTCCAACAGCTTCGACGTGCGAACGCATCCCATTTCCTGAATAGGTGCCTTGTTCACTTCCCGTCGGTTTCCTTAGGCTGAGGAAGCCCTGCATGGTATTAGCAATGTGAATTGTATAACCTGAATCAATCCACCAATCATATTGATGAGTATTAACAAAATTAGATTCATAACACACAAGAGATATGAGATTACCTTTTTTCTCAAGCCATTTCTTATACTTGGGGCAGTCTTTCTTCATGTGACCTTTTTTCTTGCAGAAGAAGCATGCATCCTTATTGCCATGATTTTTAAATGGCACTTTACTAAGCTTTTTCCATTTCTGATCACCTTTGCCCTTTTTCCATTGCCCTCCTTTATGTGTTGGTAAATGAGCACTTTCCACTTTTCCATGCTTCAATCTCTCCTCCTCTTGAACACACATGGTCAAAAGTTCATTGATAGACCATTTTTCCTTCTGTGTGTTGTAAGAAATATGGAATGCTCTATATTCCATAGGAAGAGAATTGAGTATGAAATTGACAAGGAATGACTCAGAAATCTCAATCTCTAAGGACTTAAGACGAGTTGCAATGTCCCTCATTTCCATAATGTGCTCACGCACACTCCTAGAATTGTTATGCTTCATTCCTGATAGTTTGTTCATTAGGATGTTTGCCAATGCTTTGTCAGAGCTAACAAATTGCTCTTCAATAGCCCTCATGTAGTTCTTGACCTTATCAGATGGTGGGATTGAGCTCCTAATGCTCTGGCTAATATGTGACTTTATGAGCATTAGACTTAAGTGATTGAATCGCTCCCACTTATCATAAGTACTCTTTTCTGCAGCAGAACTCTTGTCCGTGGGTTCAGGAGGTTCATCCACACAGAGTGCCAGATCGAGGTTCATGCACCCTAATGTTAGAAAGATTTTGTCCTTCCAGTCCAAAAAATTATCACCGTTCAAGAATGAAATACGAGAAGACTCATTAGACATTACAGAGGTAGAAATCACTACAATTACCAAGAACATCATTAATGCTTTGAAACAATAACTATAGTCTGAATCAACTAATGTCAAATTCAGTGACAAATCTAAACCTTCCTGTGGGTAGAGGTCACTAAACTGTATCAGATTTGCTATTACTTTATAATAAGACTAATGGGTTCCAAATATTTAAGGAAAAGAAAACTCATACCTGTGGGTTTAGAGTGTTCAATCCCTTTAATACTCAATCCATTATCTTATTCCAATTAAATTCCATAAATAATTACTTTCCTGTGGGACCAGGAAATTATTTATAAAACATAATTGCAATGTAAAAATGCCAAATTAATTTTTAATTTTATGTGACCAAAATACTGAGGATCACATCTTTATGTTTTAAGATGCTGTGGCTACTCTTAAAACAGAATAAATTTTTTTAAATATGGCACAATTTATTAATGTGAGCAAATCCCTATAGTCACAACAAATACATAATCTTTTAATGCACATAATGTATATGACATATAATCAGAGTAATATCACATGAAAAATTCCAAGACCAAACACATGTAATTTAACCTTGTACTAGATTTTGCTTAAAAATTGGACCAAAATAAATTCCATAAGTCCAACACATAGTGTATTCATGCGCTTATTTTACATGAATTTTCAATGCATAAATCATTACCTTAATGCATGTAATATAATATTACATTATTTTAGATAACATGCCAATGAATCTCAAAAATTATAAAAATTAAAAAAACATGTTATAATTCACTGTATGAAATTCAATTGAATTTGCTTACTATTTAAACATGCAATTATAATAAACAAAACATCTTTAACAGCATGTTAAAATTTCTTTATGAAAATTCTAGAAATAAATTCAAGTCTTTTATGCCTTTTAAAATAAACGAAATAAATCCAAATAAAACACGATAATGTCTAATTTCTAGAATTTATACAAAATAAGAGGACGTAGTTTATTTTATTTTATTTTAATGTTTGTCAATAAATAAAAATCAATACTTAATAACATAAAATAATTTTTTCCAAGATGAAATAGATTCAGAACATGAGTAATTTTAGATGCAAATACTACAATCACATAACAGAATGAATTCTACTAATCCCTCTAAGTAATTCATCATGCAATAATCCATCTTTGATAGACATCAAATTAATATTTTAATTCATCAAGTTTCATATACATATATTATAGCCAACAAAACAAATCGAACACACGAAGAAAATTATCATGTCAAAATCATACGGAACATGGGTCCAGCAAGTGTATAAAACAGAACGCAATGAGATTTGGTCTCCATAACATACAATAACGCTAAACAATAAGGACAGAAGGTGGCTCTGGTACCAATTGTGAGAATTAAAATAATTTTAATTCAGAAAGAATAATACCTCCTGCCATGATGTTCAAGCCTTTGAATCTTTATCCTTGAATGATCAAGTCTTGAATGTATAAACAAAACCTACTCACAGAACACTTTTATAGAACCATATGTGAAAAATGGAAATAACAGAGTTTCAAGCCTATTCTATTCACAAAATAACGTCTGTGTTTGATGACTATCACAGGCATATATATAGATAAGTTTTGACCCATATCCAAGTGTAACTCCTTATAACTTCCCACCATCAAGGAAGTTGTAATGTCACGACCCCATTCCATCCCTAGTAGAATGGTGCCGTGATGGCCAATAATCTGAGATTATCAAAGGCCAACTTACAAAAATTCACACACAATCAGAGTATACATATGGGGCCTACATGTGCGGAATCAATATATTTAAATCTAAATAGTCCATAAGAGCTTTGCATAGATCAAATGAAATGATATACATCTTAACATGGTTTTACAACTTGGATACAAATAAAATAAAGTACATATTACATCTTGATTAAAAGGCTTCTCAAGCCGACATATACAAAAGAAGTGAATTAAAACTAAGAAACATAATCTTCAAGAGGTTAGGAAAATGAATCCAAAACAACTTACAAATAACATCTAGGCATCACTTCCTTCTATATAAATGGGAGGGTGAGCTTGGATACTCAGTGAATGAAATAATTAATAAAGGTTTGAATGAATGATATCCGAGATCTTTATCAAAACAATACATATCATAGCTTGTAACAAAACATGGGATGAATCAAGTTCATCAATCAAATCTTTCAAATCTTCTTGGGATGTTTAATAACATCTACATAATACATAGGGGATGACATTCCGGACAAAACAAGGGAATAATCAACCTAGAATCGATTAGACAAATCCTCCCGTACAAGACCGTTGGCGGCACCATCCGTACAAGACCGTCGATGGCGGAGATATCTCAAACATGGTGCTATATGGGCTTAAAGTCCCCTAGCATGAAAGGACTTTCCAAGAATGTCATCAAAACAAGATAATAATTGATACAAAAATTAGAGGACAATCATTCATGCTTGATCAAATACTTTTCCAAAACGAAGTAAAGCTTTATCAAAACTTTATAACATAGCTTTATTAAAAATACCACTCACATAGCTCTTCGGGTGTAAGGATTAAAGAAAGGATCCAGGACCTACAAATACATAATAAAGTCTACTAAATGCACTTCAAGAAGACAAGAAGAGATGCTCAAAGATGGGTATGAAATGCATTCTTAAAACAAGCTTTTCATGAGTGCAAATGATCCCGACATTTCTTTCCAAAACCAAGTCAAGACAAAGTAAAACATGCTGGGAGTTAAATAACTGTTTTTCATCTAAGAAAAACATGATGGGTACCAACCAGGTCCTGGAATGGATGCACAGAGATGATCTAGGCAAAAATGACCTAGCTGGGTGAACTCAGGAGGTCTTGGCCAAGGTCCCACACCTCTTGGCCGAGGTGTGGTTACCTAGGCTTCGGGGTGCAGCTGTCTGCCGAGGTGTTACAAGGTGCCGGCAAGGGTGTACCATGGCCGGCCTAGGTGTGTAATGGTTAGCCTAGGTGTGCATGCAAGATAGACTAAGGTGCAAGTGATCATGCAAGGTTGGCCAAGGTGAGATACGATGCTGGACCTAGGTGTGAGATCTAGACAAGAGTGGTCTCGGTGACCACACCTAGGGAAATGTGAAGTTTGGAAATTTGGATTTCCTCCTTTGAAGAACATGAAGGACAAGAACATGAAGAACATGAATGCTAAAATCATAACTTCTTTATTCAAAATCTGAGATTTCATGAGATGAGTTCGAAAACATGGACCTGGGTACCCATACTTGAAGATCTTATGAAAACAAACACAAAAACATGGATCTTGATACAAACTTTTGGATCAAAACATGGTTTTTCGGACTGGAAGGACAAAATCCTTCTAACATTAGGGTGCATGGACCTCGATCTGGCACTCCGTGTGGATGAACCTCCTGAACCCACGGACGAGAGTTCCGCTGCAGAAAAGAGTTCTTATGATAAGTGGGAGCGATCTAATCGCTTAAGCCTAATGCTCATAAAGTCACATATCAACCAGAGCATTAGAGGCTCAATCCCACTATCTGATAAGGTCAAGAACTACGTGAGGGCTATTGAAGAGCAATTTGTTAGTTCTAACAAAGCATTGGCAAGCACCCTAATGAACAAACTATCAGGAATGCTCAGAGATTGAGAAGAAAGGTAATCTCATATCTCTTGTGTGTTATGAATCTAATTTTGTTAATACTCATCAATATGACTGGTGGATTGATTCAGGTTCTACAATTCACATTGCCAATACCATGCAAGGCTTCCTCAGCCTAAAGAAATCGACGGGAAGTGAACAAGGCATCTATTCTGATTTGTTTTAAAAAATGGCTTTGTTTTGGATCTTGAAAACACATTTTACATTCCATCTTTTTTAAAAATTTTAATTTCTATTTCTAGACTAGTACCATTTGGATTTGAATTGTAGTTTATTGGTGCAAATTTTAGTTTGTTTAAAGACTCTGTTTCTGTAGGATTTGGTACTTTAATTAATGGTTTGTACAAATTAAATTTGGATCCTGTTTTTGAACAAAATCTTTAACCTTGCATGGTGATATTGGCATTAAGCGTAATATTGTTGATGAGTCCTCCTCTATTCTTTGGCATAGGAGATTGGGACATATCTCCATTGAGAGAATAAAGAGGTTGGTTAATGATGAAGTCCTTCCGACTCTTGATTTTACCAACTTTGGTACTTGTGTAGATTGCATAAAGGGAAAGCAGACCAACAAGACCAGTAAATGCGCCAAAAGGAGTGAGGAAATTCTTGGAATCATACACACTGATATTTGTGGACCATTTACTCCACCTTGTCTGAATGGTCAGAGATATTTTATCTCATTTATTGATGACTTCACACGATACATGTATCTCTACCAACAGACATTAGTTACCTATTAGTCATTAAACCAATTAATTAGTCATTAAAAAAATTAAATATATATATATATAATAAATAAATAAATAAAACATGTGGCATATGGGCCACTTTATGGATATTCTTACATGTGTTTCTTATATAGACTAAAATGGGAGAGAAAACTTGGAAAAGGGATTAGTAAGAGAAAGCATGCATGCATGGTCATTGGTGGGTTACCAATCCCATATGGCACACTTAAGATAACCCACCCTTACGCTCAAAGGTGAGAAATTTTTTTGATCAAGCATGCAAAAGTGGCTGCACTTTTGAGGGACATCACTATATAAGGGTTGACTCATGGCCGGCCTCCTCCCCTATATATATATATATTTTTTGCTAGTCTATGTGTGTGTGTAAAGAATAAAATCAAGGAATATATACAATCTAGTCACTAGATATTTTGCACCCTACAATCCTCTGATTAATTCAATTACTATTTATTTAACTCATTTAGTTTCCACCACTGTATTTAGATACAGAAATTTAATTACAATAAGATAAATAATTTTAATTAAAAGAATTTAATATTAGTATTAATTATGGTACTATTAACATTATAATTCGATAATTTAATCATCACTGTTAATTGACTTAATATTATTATTAATCAAACTAATTAGTTGTCTAAAAATTCAAGTTCTTACAGTTCCAGTCTTAGAAAAAATAAAGTCGGATATTTTCTCATTACGATGACTCTTTATCTCTTGCATCAACAGAAAGAGAACCACTTTGACGTTTACTAGTATAAAACGTATGGATTACCATATAGATATGACATAAGCATAGAATCAACAAATCCAAAATGAAAATCTTCAGTGCATAGCCAGATATTTTAAAGTCATAAAATCAAAATAAAAGTCAACTATTGTTTAAATATAAACAGAATATATATATATATATATATATGTATATCACATGGCATTAGAAACAATATAAGCCCAAGCAGTGCTTGTGTGCAAGTCTATGCCTTAAGGAATGCTTACCGAGGTGTGAAGTGATTCGATCATTTGCCCTTGTTCTTCAGCTCTCGCTAGCACAACTTTAACTTTGGCAGTAGCCTCATTAGTGTGTTTCTAGATTTCTACAATATACACAAGAAAATACTACAATATACATAATAAATAAGACCCATTTTAATACAAATTAAAAACAAATATCTAAGTTTATGCTTCTTATGAGATAAATGACAAACCTCATGGCCAATAGCTCCTAAAATTACAACATAATCTGCATCTGTAACAGTTTCTGGAGATACGAAAACAAGCTTGGAATTGAATATCTGTCAACAACCAAGTCAAACAAACTTCAATCAAATGAAATGCACGATAGATGGAAATAAAGAGTCAAAAAAAATTTCACGAAGCATACATTCAAGCTCTTGCTTTCCATGGCTCCCCTGAATCCAATACATAAAATAATTAGTAACTGAAAAGGGGAAAATCACAAAGCACATCAAATATTAAGAAAAATGACATACGTGAGAAGCATCAAATATGTTGAGACTTACATGTTAAAATCTAGAACAACAACAATATTGAAGAGATCCGGGTCATACTCAAGACCAAAAACCTAAATGCATACACAATATATTTATATATGAGAAAGCATGCTTTAGAAACCACATCAAAGAGATAGATCAAAGTATGCATCCAAAAGACAGCTTGAGAGAGAGAGAGAGAGAGAGACACTCACATCTTCATCCCAAACATCAAATCAATAATGTATCAAAGAAGTTCATTGCAGAATGAAAATTCAACATCCATAGTTATTAAAATCTATTTATTCAAACTATAATCAGTATGCTAAAGAACATGGCCTTGACACAAAGGTAATACATAACGAGCAGCCACCTTTATGTTTCAGTGGTGCACTTCTGGGATGGGGTTTTAATCTGAGACAATAAACTTTTAAGAATCGTTAACTTTATAGCAGTTTTACCATTTATCTAATGTTCTTAGAGTTGTGTGACAACTTTCAACCTCTTGTTTCCTTATTTATGTGATGTTTTTAGAGTTTTGCAATGACTTTTATTCCATGCTTTAATTATAAAGTTAAAGATTCTCAAAAGTTTATTGGCTTGGGTTAAAGCCCTATCCAAAAACCATAAGCTATCTTGTAATATGGTTCCAATACTTCTTTGCAAGTGCAAGATGGAATCAAGATGCAGTCATCAAAATTTTAAAATTTATTGGAGATTCCAGACGACTCTAATAATAGCAAACTGGTTATACGTCCCAAAGGTCCAATCATGATAACTGCAAGAATGGAAATTAGAATTCAGAAAACTTACATCTTCCTCATTCATGGATAAGATAGTTAATGATTTTAATGCAGAAAGCTTAGAACTTGCAAGCAACACCATTGAATTCGCATCCTGCAAGCAAAGCAACATTGTTTCTGCTACTTTCTTAGATGTAGTACAGTGGAGAAATAGATTTAGTTACAAGAAAGATACATTCACCCATACAGTGTCAATCAAAGAATCTCCTGTATTAATTCAAAAAAATAGTAGCAAACATGTGCATTGCACTTTTTAATCATGCAAAATCCATCAGTAATTAGGAATATCAGAATGACATAAGGAAACAATTATGATCAGTCAATATATATAATGTCTTGTATAAGCACTCAACTTAGCGAAGAGATACATTCACCAACTCAAGCCTTGAAATAACCTCAAACATAAATCCCTAAATAAAACATTTAATATTTCAATTAAAGCAATCGAAGAAAGCTAAATAAACTTCCTCAGGTTCCAAGGGACATAAGCTTTAAGTGGTAATGGCTCAAGGAAGAAGGTAGCTACAAACTAGAGGGGCAAAGGGCAAGACTAATAATGAAGGAAGAGAAAAAGAGAGCCTTCAATGTATTATTAGTCAAAACCATGATTTTTTTTTTTTTAATGAGTAATATTTATGATAGACATTGTCAATGCAAAAGGCATGGTATCCTACACAAGCATAGTAGGGAAAACAAAATTTTTTAATAGCATCTATTATGTGTTCACATCTACCACTTAGTTCTTCAAAATCCATTACTTGAAGTTACAAAATAGGACTAAAAGTGTACTGTAAAGAATTTAATCCATATCCTCTTCAACCTTAGTCTCCTTTCACGCAGATAAATGATACTTTTTATGTACACTAAGAACCATGAAAAGAATTGTCATTCCCACTCACATAAATAAAAAATTCAATGTAGAATATTGAGTCTACAAAGAATGTACCCTCTAGATGCTGCTGCAAAAACAAAAATTGGTTCCACAGGGTTGCATTTTAGATCCAAGACACTGCAGTACACCAAATGCATGAAGATAAGCATAAAATAGAACGTTAATCACTAAACTTTTTTTTGAGCAGGTCCAAATTATAGCAACGAGGAATGATGAAGCCCTGGAAGCAGCACACTGGTAATATTATATTACAAAAAAGGGAAGGAAATGGAGATGATTTCATGAAAAGTCCCCGCATGATTATTATTGACTAAGGGAAAAGTTCAATCTAAATAACGAAGAAAAAAAAAACAACAACAACAACAACATTATTAATAATACAATTAAAGCAAATCCTTTTTAAGAGAGGAATGATTCAAAGCTTCCCATTTTGCAAAACACCCTACCCCATTAACTAAAAACAAAACCCAAAATTTGGTGTGGAGTAAACTTAGACATTTTGTCAAACACCTGAGCTGAAGAAAAAAAAAAGAAAAAAAAAAAAGATCTCAACCAAATCTTGTTCAAAACCCCAACATTACTAATCAAACAATATTAAGGTCAGCAACTTTAGCATAATAGAGATACACCCATGTGCTTCTCCATGCCCGAGATTCAACTGAAATGCCCATAGTGATTCACAATACCCACAAAATAATATCCAATGTGAAAACCAAAGCTAAAAACAGAGTGTTAGAGAGAGAAAGCTTACTGTGAGAAAATCCTAAAGGCTGAAATTAGACGAAGAGAGACAGAAAGACAGAGAGAGGTCAAAATAGAGAAGACATACCTAGGGTAATGCTCCAATGGTGGATTGACAGTGGTGCTCGTGTGTGATGGGGGTAATGCTTTTGTATCCGATGGCAATGGAGACAAAAGCGAGCGAACGAGAGAGGCAGCCGAAGAGGCGCGAGAGAGAGACAGTCACAAAGTGAGAGACAAACAGACGCATTAGAGCATCCACACCAGCCTTTTCAAATTTTTAGTCAAGTTATTGTTCGAAATAGTTGGAAAATTCTGGGTAAAATCAGAATTTTTTCCTAAATTTGGTCTATTTTTTAGGTGGGGTCCCGTGCGTCGATTTTCGTGGGTCAAAGTGGTAACGCGTTCTATGCCGCGTTGTGATTCACGTGGTATATTTGGTTGCTCAAAACCATTACCATGTGAATGGGAAATTGAAGCCAAAGTATGCTCTATGGAAATGGAGTTTTGGTGAAAAATTCTTATAGGTTTGAATAAGGCTTGTCCCACATTGATTTGGTGGGAAGTTTTGAATGGGTTTATAAGCATGGGATTGGAACTTGGGGTGTGTCCCAAGGGGTACCCAAGTGTTTTAGAGAGGGAGGTTATGGGTAAAATGGGCTAGATCTATTGGACCTAAAAATCACCATACGCGCGCGCGCCACCATCTGTCCGGTTCGGCAGGCTGGGTTTGGGCGCGAGTGCGTAGTGTGAGGTTAGGTTGGGCTTGTCCGATCCAATATCTATCTTTTTGGGTCAAAAATATTTGAATTTAATTTTATTTTTTGGTAAAATAAAATCCAGAATTCAAATTAATTTCGGAAATAAACTAGTCCGGTTTTACTGTACACCCAAACAGGGCCCTTCCCGTTTATATCTGTTTGAATTGTGAACCCAACTGATTCAAATCTGTTTAAATTCAAAACCAAACAGGTTTCATACCAGTCCAACAATCTTAAAACAGAATATTTTTGATATCTTCATTGTATTTAATTTTCTGTGATTTCATAAAGACATATTCTTATTGGAAAAACAAATAATGGTTTATGCTATTTGACAGATAGTAGTAATATACTTTCTCTTTTCCTTGACAACTAGTAGTAATATACTGGTATCATTAACAATTGCAGAATATTAATTTGTGTTACAGAAAACTATTGTGGTATTTTATTTTTCTTGTTTTAGTAACAAGAAAAATAAAATTATTTTTTGTAATAATTTATTTTCTGGTTTTAGTAACTAGAAAATTAATTTGTGTTTTAATTTTTTCTGATTTTTGTAATCAGAGATTATGGCTACTGCAACTAGTAGTGGTACTCCGATTGTTACACCAACATCGGTCCCTATCCAAAACCATGTTCAAGTACCAATCAATCATGGAGAAAAACCAGAAAAATTTAACGGTACTGAGTTTAAGATATGGCAGCAGAAGATGCTGTTCTATCTTATAAATCTTAATTTAGCTCGGTTTCCCCATAAAGAGGCTCCAGCACTTAAAGAGGGCGAAAGTGATCGGCAAGTTATTGCCGCTGTAGATGCTTGGAAACATTCAGATTTCCTGTGCAGAAACTACATCCTCAATGGCCTTGACAACATGCTGTATAATGTTTACAGTCCTTTGAGGTTAGCAAAAGAATTGTGAGATTCTTTGGAGAAGAAATACAAGACAGAGGATGTCGGCACGAAGAAATTTATTGTCGGTAAATTTCTGGACTTCGTTATGGTAGACTCCCAAACGGTAATTTCTCAAGTTCAAAGTTTTCAATTAATTTTATATGATATTCATTCTGAGGGTATGGCTCTGAGCGAGTCATTCCAAGTCGCTGCTTTAGTGGAAAAGTTACCACCGGCTTGGAAAGATTTCAAAAATTATTTAAAACATAAACGCAAAGAGATGACCATAGATGAATTGATTGTAAGATTAATAATTGAGGAAGATAACCGAAAGGTTGAAAAGAGGAATGAAAAAAATTCCATTGAGTCCAAGGCTAATGTGGTTGAACAAGTTCATAAACCACATAACAAAAAAAGGAAGTTTACTGGAGATAGTCCTAAACAAAGCGATAGCAACAAGAAGTTCAAAGGAAAATGCTATAACTGTGGCAAGACTGGACATCGAGCTTCTGACTGCCGCCGCCCTAAGAAGGATCATGGAAGTACAAGCAAGAAGACTACCAATCAGGCCAATATAACTGAACTAGATTACATCTCTGACAGAGTAAATGACATCAACCTCTCTGCTATGGTGACTGAGGCTAACTTGGTTGGAAATCCCAAAGAGTGGTGGGTTGACACTGGAGCAACTCGTCACATATGTGCGGACAAGAAGATGTTCACTACCTACAATGAGACTGCAAATGGTGAAACCCTTTTCATGGAAAATTCTTCTACTTCTACTGTGGCTGGACAAGGAAAAGTGATCTTGAAGATGACATCAGGGAAAGAACTGACCCTCAACAACGTACTGCATGTACCTGACATCCGGAAGAATTTTGTTTCTGGTTCTTTGTTAAGTAAAAATGGTTTTAGGCTTGTTTTTTAGTCTGATGAATTTGTATTAACTAAGAGTGGTACGTATGTTGGTAAGGGATATATGAGTGATGGTCTCTTTAAATTGAATGTAATAACAGTTGTACCAAAAGTTGCTATGAATAAGAATAACACATCTTTTGCTTATATTCTTGAGTCGAATTTATGGCATGGTAGATGAGGACATGTGAATTTTGATGCTTTGCGTATATTAATTGGTTTAGATTATATACCAAAGTTTGAAATTAATCCTAATCATAAATGTAAAATTTGTGTAGAAGCGAAACTAATTAAGACTCCATTTAAATCGGTTGAAAGGAAAACTGAACCTCTAGAATTAATTCATACAGATGTATGTGATCTTAAATTTATTCAAACTAGAGGAGGCAAAAAGTATTTCATAACATTTATCGATGATTGCACAAGATATTGTTATGTTTATTTACTTAGAAGTAAGGATGAAGCCTTAGAAATGTTTAAACTCTACAAAAACAGAAGTTGAAAATCAACTTGGTAAAACCATTAAAATGGTTAGAAGTGATAGGGGTGGTGAATATGATGCACCATTAAATGAATTTTGTGCACAAAATGGCATTATTCACAAAACTACATCACCCAATTCTCCTCAGCAAAATGAAATTGCTGAAAGAAAGAATAGAACCCTAAAAGAAATGATGAATGCTATGTTACTAAGTTAAGGCTTACCACAGAACTTGTGAGAGGAAGCAATATTGTCTGCTAATTATGTTCTTAACAGAATACCCCACAAGAAAACCAACAGTACTCCTTATGAATTGTGGAAAGGTCGACCACCTTCCTACAAATACTTAAAAGTGTGGGGGTGTTTGGCAAAAGTTGAAACTCCTATTCCTAAAAAGACTAAGATTGGACCAAAAACTGTAGATTGTGTGTTTATTGGTTATGCTCAGAATAGTAGTGCATATCGGTTTCTGACTTATAAATCAGAAATACCTGATATAAATGTGAACACTATTATAGAGTCAAGGAATGCTGTGTTTTTTGAACACGTCTTTCCTTACAAGAAAGGACAGGAATTAAGTTCACAGAAAAGAACTTATGATTGTACACAAAGTCAAGAGACTAATGACAATCAAACACAAGAGACTAGAAATGGTCTCGACCAACAGGATTTAACTGATGATGGACCAAGACGAAGTAAGAGAGCGAGAATATCAAATTTCTTTGGTCCAGATTTCCTAACATACCTGTTAGAAAATGAACCTCAAAGCTTTAAGGCAGCAATGACAGGTCCTGAAGCACCTTTGTGGAAAGAGGTTGTTAATAATGAAATTGAATCCATTATGCAAAATCATACTTGGGAATTGGTAGATCTTCCACCAAGTTCTAAACCTCTTGGATATAAGTGGATATTCAAGAGAAAAATGAAGGCAGATGGTTCAATAGACAAGTATAAAGTAAGACTTGTAGTAAAATGTTATAGACAAAAGGAAGGTCTGGACTATTTTGACACATATTCTCCTGTGACAAGAATAACATCGATTCGTATGCTTATTTCTATAGCAGCATTGTTTAATTTAGAAATACATCAAATGGATGTTAAGATAGCTTTCTTAAATGGTGATCTAAATGAAGAGGTCTATATGGAGCAACCCGAAGGGTTTATAGTGTCGGGATAAGAAAAGAAAGTTTGTCGGCTTGTAAAATTTTTTTATGGATTAAAACAAGCACCTAAGAAATGACATGAAAAATTTGATCATGCAATGCTTACTAATGGGTTTATGTCACGACCCAAACCCGGCCTTATGGGTTTAGCACCGTAACCGGCCAGTAATTCAAGATTACCGAAGGCCTGCAGGACAGTAATACAGTAAAACAGAGTACAGGGCCTGGCGGAAGCCAAAATTGTAAATAAACAATGCCCAATGAGCTGCGACAGTCTATATGAAAAGATTTTTCATACATTTATACGTAAACAGTACAGAACGGTATGCACACTATTTACAATCATTCAGACTAGGGACTCAACCCTAGATAACAGTACGGCAAAGATATGTCATAGTTTGTCTTTATGTGGATGACATGCTTATCATTGGATGCAGTCAAAACATGATCAAATTAACTAAACAAATGCTTAACAAAAGATTTGATATGAAAGATATGAGGGTCGCAGATGTTATATTAGGAATGAAAATTACTAAAACATCTGACGGATATGCATTATCTCAATCACATTATATTGAGAAAATTCTTGGTAAATTTATCAAGGATGATATGAATTTAGCTAGAATACCTGTAGACGTCAATCTTTATTTATCAAAAAATAAAGGTGATGCGATGCCTCAGTTAAAATACTCCCAAATCATTAGAAGCCTAATGTACCTAATGAATTGCACTCATCCTGAAATAGCTTATTCAGTCAGTAAATTGAGTAAGTACACTAGTAACCCTGGAGAAGACCATTGGAAGGCGATCATTCAAGTTCTTAGATATCTAAGATTCACCCGTGATCATGGTTTGAACTTTACTCGATATCCAGTAGTACTTGAAGGTTATTGTGATGCAAATTGGATATCGGATACTAAAGATTCAAAATCCACAAGTGGATATGTCTTTACTCTGGGAGGCGCTGTTGTTTCTTGGAAATCCACGAAACAAACTTGCATCGCACGATCCACAATGGAACCCGTGTTCATTGCTTTAGACAAA